TTTAAATCGTTTGGGTCTTCTGTCAATATATCTTATAATTTCTTCATCATCAGATGATGATAAAATATTATAATATGCCATAATAATTCACACGTTAAATTTCGTGAATACAAATGATCAAAAAAGCAACTTATCCAATACAACGCGCATAACCTCAAATACTGACGTTTTGTATTCTTTTCTGCTTGAACGACGTTTAAACTCGTTAATCGGCCAAAAATTGGCGTTCACAATAAACGCCGTTTAACTGAATTGAACTTTCATTAAAAATTTGGTGGAATCGAAAATATCACTAATCAGAGTTTAAACTCAGTTCACATTTTGAACGACGTTGGAGAAAACGGGCATAAGTGGGTAGTAGGACTTAGCCCTAGAGTGAAAAGGTGGGTACACACATACACACACACACGCACACAGACTCACACACACTCAGAAAATGTCAAAAACTAAAAGACAACGGATGACCAATAGAATTCGACCACATATAGACAAAACTATAAGACATGCAACAGATGACAAAAACAGACAAAATAACAAGTAAACACGCAAAGACGTACGTACACACACTGGACAACATACAAATAACAGAAACGACAGTGTTTGAGTAATTTTGAGACATACATAGAAACAAGGTACACCTTCTAGGGAGAAAGTGCAGGTATGCGCGCAAACAGTGTGAGGCGGACTTAAGATTCGTGCACGAACCGGCACAGAGAGGAGTCTGAAACGAGAAAGGAACGCGTTAACATCTTTCTGAAAAAAAAGACGCGTAAAAAAAAGAAAGTAGTCGAAAATCGTGAATCGATATTGGATGCGCGGGCATCCTACGAGAGGATGCGACAAGTGAGCGTCGTCTTCTAAAATCGAACGATTCGACTCGAAGAAACGCGAAGTATAAGTCGCGAGAAAAAATATCGCGAATCGTCGATACTGGCCATTGCACATGTATGTAGATGCGATGTAAAAAGCCGCGGACGGCGAGTAAGCGCGATCGCGAGTTCATACGACAGCGTGTATTGTAAGAAACTGTATTTTATGAACATTATTAAATATATATATACGTATTCTAAACTTGTGTGTGATAACTGTGAGACATGCAAGGCGTATACTTACCTTTCCTGGATCCTTTCCTGAAATGGACAAGACATCAGGATTACAGGACCAATAAGGGGGCGAATAGTATCTATGCGTTCCTGAAAGATACCTGGCGACCGTGAAAACCTGCAAAGATGAGTAAAAGTGAACATTCATAAGAAATCGACCGGAAAATCCGGTCACAACTTAACCTAACCCGGCTCTGTAGTTTCTAAACTAATAAATATATATTCGGTCATTGGAGCCATTCGCTAGGTGTTGTGCGGAAATTATACGTGTATATATATCCATATATACGTGTTCACATG